ATTTATTTGTTTGTTTGTTTGTTTTTGAGACAGGGTCTCACTATGTAGTCCTGGCTGGCCCAGATACCTTTGCTGGGATTAAAAATATGTCTCACCACTTCAAGCTAATGGTGCTTTACTTAGGAGCCTTCAAAGACAGTTTAGAAAATGGTATCTGGGGAGGCTGGAGAGATGGCTCAGCAGCTCACTGACTGCTCTTTCAGAGGTCCTGAGTTCAATTCCCAGCAACTACATGGTGGCTCACAACCATCTGTAATGGGATCTGATGCCCTCTTCTGGTGGGTCTGAGGACGGCGAAGGTGTACTCACATATGTAAAATAAATACAATCTTAAAAAAAATAAAAATAAAAAAAAGAAGAGAAAATGGTATCTGGCTGTGGCCGGAGCTCAGTGGGGAGAGTGCCAGCCCAGCTGGGTTTGAACTCCAGCACACACTAAAATTGGGGTCGTAGAGGCACACAGACACAGAAAATGGTATTTCTAAATGAGCCTATGGGGGCCATTCCTTTTCAAACCACCACAGTGCATATGTGTATGTGTGTGCCAGTGTGTGTATGTGTGTGTATGTGCATGTGTGCATGCGTGCATGTGTGGTTCATGCATGTGCGAGCGTGTGTGTGAAGGCCAGAGGAGGTCACCAGGTGTCTTTGATTACTCTTCACCTTATTTCTTTGAGGCAGGATCTCTTACTGAATTTACAGCTAAGCTGGCAGCCAGCAAATTGTAACCACCGCACAGCGCTGGCATTATATGCACGAAAGACCAGTCACGCTTGGCTTTTCCTCATGCTTGGCTTTTCCTGCGGGTCTTTCTACACGATTCAAGTTCAGGTCCTTGGACTTGATTAGCATGACCTGCTGAGCAAGCTCTCTAGCCAATTCTGTTCTTCCTCCTTTTTGCTGGGAACAGGGATTTTCTATGTACCCGAGGCTGGCCTCAGATTTGCAACCATCCTATCTCAGCCTCCTCAGAACTGAGATAATAGTAATTCAGAACAGTGCCTGGTTTGTACATCTATTGTTAAATAATATCAAATATTTCATAAGTTCACCTGAAACCTTATTTCCAACTCAAAAGCACAAACGTTTGTTTGTTTGTTTGCTTTTTTTTTGAGCTTCCTTCCTTTCCCCGTTTGTAATTTCAGCTTTGAGAAATCTATCTTTCATTTGTGAATCACTGATGGTTTTCTTTAACTTGTCAAAAGATTTGTTAGTACTCAAGAAACTGAGGCAAGTGAATCTCTATAAGTTCAAAGCCAGAGTAATCTATACATATGGAGTTCCAGACTAGCCAGGGCTACACAGTGAGATCTTGTCTCAAAAAAAGCAAATAAACTGGACGGTGGTGACACATGTCTTTAATCTCAGTACCCAGGAGGCAGAGCTGGGTAGTGGTGAAGCATGCCTTGAAACTCAGCACCCAGGAGGCAAAGGCTAGCAGATCTCTGAGTTGGAGGCCAGTGTGGTCTACAGAGTTCTAGGGTAGCCAGGGCTAAACAAAGAAACCCTATTTAGAAAAGCAAACAAATAAACACCCAAGCAAACAAAAATAAATGTTTTTTGTGTGTGTTCAACAAATACATATGTGCCAGCAGTGGTGGTGCATGCCTTTAATCCCAGAAGTTGGGAGGCAGAGGCAGGTGGATTTCTGAGTTCGAGGCCAGCCTGGTCTACAAAGTGAGTTCCAGGACAGTCAGGGCTACACAGAGAAACCCTGTCTTGAAAACATACAACAACAACAAAAATAACAAATACATATGTATGTTATTGTACTGTATGTGTGCATGTACAATATACACATGTATGCTATTGTATGTGTGAATGTACATTACACATATATATGTTATTTTATGCTGATTCTTCCATTCTCCCACTTGTTTCTTTTTTAGTTTATGGAGGCGTGGTCTCATGGAGTCTAGGCTCCCCTCTAACTCACTATGCTATGAAGGTGAACTTGAACTGGATCCTTCCTGCCCTTTTCCACAAGCTAAGATTAAGGTGCACGACCAAATCTAGGTTAAGGGTTTCTTTTTAATTAATTAGCTTTTGGCAATGCTGAAGGAGGAATGAAGGATCTCCTGTGTTAAATAAACACTACATCAATTTAGCTACAACCTCAGCCCCCCTCAAACATCTGGTTTTCTTTGTTTTTTGTTTTGTTTTTTTGTTAAACTAGAGGCTGTGTGTGTGCACGCACATGTGTGCGTGCCAGGACACACACACCCTTGGAGATCAGAGCACTATGTGCTGAGGTCTGGGAGATGGTGCTCAGGTGTCAGGCTTGGTGACTTTGACTGCTGAGTTGTCTCAGTAGCCTTAATGTGCACTTAGGGCGGCCCATACCAGGCCGGGTGCATAGCGGTCAATCAGAGAATGACTTTCTGGGAGTGAACCGTTGGCTGTAATGTAATGACTGAGGTAAGATTTGGTTGAAGGTAAGGGTTTTCTTGTAGATTGACTAGATTGAGAGAGTACAGGCAGGGGAATCTGCAAGAGGAGAGAGAGAGAGAGAGAGAGAGAGAGAGAGAGAGAGAGAGAGAGAGAGATCATGGCCAATAGACTAAATTGGGTCATGAGAGAAGACAGAGGAGAAAGGAGAGAGAGCGGGGAAAGAGAGACCAGAGAACCATGAGACAGAGACCCAAGGGAGGAGCAAAGAGAGTGCATGGCTGAGCTGGCTGGGTTATACAGGGATAAGAAGCTGAGGGGGAAGGAAGGGAAGACTTGAGAGGTTTAGGGTAGAGGCTAGGTGAGGAGAGCTGAGGGGAGCCACAGGCACTGAGTGAGCTTGAGGCCTGCAAAGCTCTGGTAAGCTAATCAGCACCACAGCCTTTTATCCTGTGCTTCCTTCTGACCTGAAGATTCTCTCCTTCCAGGGTGGATCTCGTGTCAGACTCAGTTTGTCAGGCCTGCCCATCAAGTGTACCCGCTCGTGTGGCAGCTTTGTCTTTACGTTAAACTTATTCTGCGTGTGGGAGGGGGGGATGCCATGGCTGTGTATGTGGGTCACTGGACAGTTTGCTGAGTCCTTACAACAGGGGGCTCAGTGATCAAAATCGTGTGGTCAAGCTTGGTGGCGGGATAGGCTGCGATCTGAGAGCAGCCAGCCTGGCTCTAGAATCTTGGCTAAGCCATCTGCCTCTGAATATTTTTGTCTTTTGCACTCCACTACCTACAAAAGCTTATCACTCTGGAATCCAAAAAAAAAAAAAAAAAAAAAAAAACCTCTGTTCTTGGTAAATCTCCACTGTGCAGAGCCAATCAAGGGGTCTGTATCATGTGTGTTAGAATAAATCAGGGTTCAAAACGAAAGAGACTAGAACTCCAACAGAAGTGTCTACACAGGCAAACTTTAGCTTGGCTGTCCTTGAACTCACAGAGATACACCCATCTATGCTTCCCAAGGGCTAGTATAAAAATTGTGTGTCACTGTGGTTCTGCATTTCACTGAGCTGCTGGGTGTCAGAGCACTGCTCACTGTTTTTCCTGTTTGGGCGCTGGGCTCATGGATGATGACCCACTGCTCAGAAGAGGCTAGAACTTAGCTGAAGATAGGGGTTCCTGCCTGTGAGAAATGCCGGGGGTGAAGGCTGTGGTCCTCAAACTATTGAATACCCAGATGCCACTGGGAACCTGGAAGGGTTGAGAATGAGAGCCCTCTGGCTTGACCTGAGCCAGGGGGTGGGGTGGGGTGGGGTGGGGTGAGGAATTGGGCTTAGCTCAAGGTGAATGCCAGGAGTGCCGAGAGGCCTTCTGTGGGAGACTTAGGTGAGGTTTGGTATGATGAAGGCCTTCCTCCATGGTGGTCCTTGTTTGTCCAGACTGTTAATTCAGAATGAAAAGGTATGCATACAATTTACTCAGGGTGAACTAGAGATTAAATACCTTTTGCAGGAAGGGATGACCCTTGAGGACATCTAAATACCTCCTTAGCATGGAGAACTCTGGATTTCTATGCTACAATGACCAGTTGTCATGTTTCTCTTAGTGGGGTGTTGTGGTCACATGCTCCAGGACAGGAACCAGGTTGAGAACAAATTTAAATGCCTACCATTCTCAGTTATGAGAATTGTTGGGGTTCCTCATTCTGCTGGACCTCACCAGTTTTTCTGTTTGGTGACACGGTTCCACTTGCCTCACACCTGGGACCATATTCTTGATCATATATTCTTGAGGGTGTGTTCTGAAGAGCAAGCATGCCAAGCCAGGAAGTGAACTTTGTTTTTCTCTTAACTCCATTGGCTGGAGTCTGACCTCACAGTCTTCTGTTGATTGGCTAGCTTTACATGAATCCAGAAAAGGGAAATGAAGGACCAGGAAGGGCTGCCAAGAATGCAGCAAGGCCTTTGTATAAACAAAGCCTTATAAGGTTGGGGTGGAAGTGGTTAAAACATTTGCATAAAAGTTTTCAAAGCGGGGCATTGGTGCTGCACACCTTTAATCCCAGCACTTGGGAGGCAGAAGCAGGCGGATTTCTGAGTTCGAGGCCAGCCTGGTCTACAGAGTGAGTTCCAGGACAGCCAGGGCTACACAGAGAAACCCTGTCTGGGGGAAATAAAACAACCAAATAAACAGAAAACAGAACCAAACCCTCAGTGGGTCCTTTCAAAATGTATAATATTCATATATTATATGTTTTATTATATACATTATATACATGGAGCTTGTGAGGAAGAAGGGGTTCAGTGGGTATAAAATGGGGGAGACATGGCAACAGTGGAATGGGGGGTGGGATGGCCAAAATACATTATATACAAATATGAAAATCCAGGAAAGAAAAAGCCTTCTGCACTCTGGGTGTTCAAACTCTGGAAGCTGTCAGTCTTCCCTACCCTTCCTAGTAGCTCCAAGGTCAGGGTCACCTCCGGCTCCCAGGCAACCTGTCACCTTGACGACGGAGTGAAGAAAAACCGGAAGTCACGGAAGCCGTATATGATCTCGCGATACCTGGCGCGCCGGCTCCAGCCGGAAGCTTATGGTGGCGGCCGGCTCTCGCGAGACTTGCCATCAGTCGGAGCGCGGGGGCCGGCCGTGAGGAGCGCCTGAGCAGCCGGTAGGGAACATGTCGGAGTCCGAGCTGGGCAGAAAGTGGGACCGGTGCTTGGCCGACACGGTAGTGAAGCTAGGTGAGCGCATCTTTCTCTAGTAGGCCCTGGCTGCAGCCGAGCGGCCCGCGCGCGGACGGAAAGCCGCAGGGGTCAAGCCGCGGCCTGCTGCCGTCCGGCGGTGCGCTCTGAGCTGCGGGACGCTGACAGGTGACTGTCAAGCCGGGCGGTGAAGACGTGGGGACGAAGGGCGAGGGCGGCCTCCGGGGTGGATGGAGGTGCAGGCCCGGGGGAGCAGCGGCGCTCTGGGGGTGGAAAGGCGTGCGGGACGCGCCGGGGAACTCGGCCACTCCATGCCCCATGTCCCCCGGCTTGGGCATGCAGCCTGCCGGAGCCCACACTGCTCCCTAGCTGGGACAGAGCGGCCTTCGGAAGAAGGTCAGAGGAGCGTTTACTAGCCGCCGCCGGGCCGCGGTGGGAATTGCCGTCAGCGGCCCCAGACAGTGAGATCGTGGCCACCGCAGGCCCCCTTGTTAGTCCAGGCTGTCTTTTCGACACGCGTTCTGTGACGACACACTTTATGAGGTCACGGTGTCGGAGACGGAGGATCGGCGGGTGTCCCACAGAGTGCTGCAGAGGTTAGGCGCGCTGCTCAGCCCAGTCGCTCGGAAAGGTGCTTCCACGTTGTGAGTTGGAGTTCGGTGAAGGGGCTTGCCTGAAACCTCGTCGCTGATCGTGTGGCATAGTTGAGAATTTCTTCCCAGGATTTCTTCCATCGGGTCTCAGGCTCTCTGCTGATCGCCGTCCTCTCCATCCTTCTCTTGTTGACTGTCTGCAGCTAGTCTTGGCGTGTAGGCTGGAGATGGATGAGGAGTGTCTTCCTCGGTAGCTCTTTGCCCTATTTATTGATGTAGACATTGTCTCACTATGTAGACCTGACTGGCCACTAAAAAATTGATTGACCAAATTGGCCCTGAACTCAGAGACACCCTCTACTCCTGCTGTGCTCCGGCTTGCAGGATTTAAAGGTGTGCACCACTACACTGGACTCTCACAGAAACTGGAGCTCATCAATTTGCCTAAACTGGCTGCCCATTGAGCTTTTATCCTCCGCGGCCGGCCCCCCCCGCCCCCTAGCATTTTTGCTTGGGTGCTGAGGAGTTGAGCTCAAGTCTTAGTGCTTTTAGACCAGGGCTTTATCCGCTGAGTTCCCTAGACTCTTTCTTCTATACTAACATTTTTGTTGGTTTGTTTGTTTTTGTTTTTCGAGACAGGGTTTCTCTGTGTAGTCCTGGCTGTCCTGGAACTCACCCTGTAGACCAGGCTGTCCTTGAACTCAGAAATCCGCCTGTCTCTGCCTCCCAAGTGCTGGGATTAAAGGCGTGCGCCACCACCGCCCAGCAACATTTATAGTTGGAAGTTAGATTTTCTTTTCCCCGTTTTTGAAACTGGTACTCACTCTGTATCCCTGGCTGGCCTTGAACGAACAGATCTGCCTGGCTGCCTCAAGTGCAGGGAGTAAAGGTGTGTGCCACCACACATAGGTTCATATTGTATACTTCCTGCATGGAAATTATTTAAGAGAATTTAGGATTATATCCTTAGGTAAAGATTCTCAGGAAAGAATGAAATCATGAGCTCAGGGAAAGTAGATATGTTTTCTGTTGTTTTTTTTTCCACTGTGTTCTCTAAGCCTCAGAGGACTGAGAGTACACAATTCAGGATGAATTAATACATGATAAATTGATCAATTACTTTTTGACTCCCAGATTCAGCCAAGACCAGTTCTGCCATGAGGGGCAAGTTGGCTACCATTCCTGAGCCTGTTTTCCTGGTTTGACTTGTAACTATTGTTAATTTAAGAGTGGTTCAGATGGTTAAGTGGGCTGGCTTGCTATTAGAAATGGATTATTCTGGAAGTGGCCAAAAATATTGCTATTGCTTAATGTGTATGGGTGATCTGCCTGCGTGTATGTCTGCTGCCGGAAGAGGTCAGAGGAGGCTGTTGGATTGGCTAGAGCTGGAGTTATAGACAGTTGTGGAGTTGAGAGTTGAACTTGGGTCCTGTGCAAGAGCAGCTTAGGCACTTAGCTCTCTCTCTCTCTAGTCCAAAATATTATATTTAATGGTTTGCAATTTGAAAGAGGATTTAACATTTATATGCCAGCATAGTCCCTAAACAGTGTGGTAACAGAGGTCAGAGCGCTCTTCGGAGTCCACAGAGGTGTGATTTAGGCCTCACTTTCCTTTCCATCCACACTAGTTCTACTGATTTGGTTAAGGTCTCCTCCTCAACCTGAAATGGAGATTAACCTAAAAAGATAAGGAAACCAGAGGAGTCAGGCATGCTGCTATGCTCTGGATCCTAGCACAGGAGCTGAGGCAGTTGAGTCTCTTCAGTGTGAGGCCAGGCCGGGCTACCTCAAAAACAAACAACTGCTTCCACAGAAATTTAAGTAGGAAGATATGTCAAATCCTTAGCACTGTGGCTGCCGGTACATAGTCAGGAGACAGTGGGATACAATGGCAATGCCAGTGGACATCTGGGGTAGTGTTAGCATCTGCGGTGAGGTTGGTGTGGCAGGCAAAAGCAGGATGATGAAGCGAGGCTAGACTGGGTATGAGAGCAGGTCAGAGGGCACTGAGTGCGGACGTGGCGGCTGGAGAGCCTCAGAGTTGACTGGTGGACAGCAGAGCCCTTCAGTGAAAGACCTTTCTCAGTGGCTTGGATTTGGGTAGTATTTTAATTTTTAAATTACAAAAAAAACAAAAACAAAAAAACAAACATTGAGCCGGGCGGTGGTGGTGCACACCTTTAATCCCAGCACCTGGGAGGCAGAGGCAGGCGGATTTCTGAGTTCGAGGCCAGCCTGGTCTACAGAGTGAGTTCCAGGACAGCCCGGGCTGTACAGAGAAACCCTGTCTCGAAAAACCAAAAAAAAAAAAAACAACAAACCATTGAGTGTGTTCTTAGACATGAAGTGTAGGGAGGGTTGGCCTTGACTTTCTAACGGTCCTATCTTCCTCCTCACCCTTCCTCAGCCTCCTCAGCTCTACTAGGTCCTCTAGACAGCGGGGAAAACATTGGTGGGTATTTTGAGGAAACATGAGACATTTCTTAAGCCAACCCAGTTTTCTGTGTAGTGCTTTTTCTGTGTACTCAGTCAGGGTGATTGTCTCTCTCCTCTGTCTTCATTTCTTAGAAGGATAGCACCAAGGTTGGAATTTTCCTTTGTGGTAATTTTTAAAAATTTAAATATTTAGTGTGCGTGTGAGTGTGTGTGTCTCTGTGTGTGTGTGTGTGTGTGTGTGCCCGTGCCCATGGCATGTGGAGGTCTTTGGGACAGCTTCTAGGAATCAGTTATCTTCTTCACTGTGTGGGTCCTGGGGATCCACTCAGGTCACCAGACTTGGCAGCAAGCATATTTACCCACTGAGCCATCTCCGTGGTCCAAGTGACTGGTAAAGTGTGATCAGAATTTGGAGGTAAACAGAAGGGATGCAGATGAGCCTCACAGAGGAAGTACCAACGTAGTACTGATTGCATATCCCAGAGTACACCAGCCCGCAGTGAGGACAGGCCATGATTTTGTCAGTTCTTTGAGACAGGGTTCTCTGTGTAGCTTGGGCTATCCTAGAACTTACTTTGTAGACCAGACTGGCCTCAAACTTGCTTCTTCTAAGATTAAAGGTATATACCACCACTGCCTGGCTGGTTTGGTCATTTCTAGTGCTTAGGTTTGAACATGATCCAATAACAGTTGAGAAAAGGGTTTCAGGTTTGAGAGAGTACTAAAGTTCAGGCTTTGAGTGGTTTGACCCACAGGGGTTAGAGGAAGCAGAGCATAGAGAGAGGAGGCGGCTCAGCAGGTTGAGCTTGATGGTCCTGAGAGGATGAAGACTGCTGCTCTTCTGCAGCCCATTCCTTCCCATTCCCACAGGCAGTAGTGTTGCAGAGCTCTCCGAGCTTCCTTGCTGTCTGCTTTCCTGGCACTTCAGAATGGAGATGGAGTCTCAGAGAGTGACTGCTCTCCCTGAGATGTGATGGAAGACACAGGCAGGGAAGAAAGAGTTACTGCCGTTTCAGTTCTGTTTGATGATGGCTTTGCTCTGGCTCTGCAGACTGCAGAGAAGCTACTGTGACCAGACAGCGCCACTATGAGCCCCTCTCAGTGCAGGGGATGGAATCCAGGGCTTTGCATTCTACCTCTGAGCTGTACCCTCAGCCCCCCAAGAGGACTCTTTAATACGAGTGTTGAACAGCTGCTGGGTACTTCAGGGCAGAGATGGGCTCAGCAGTTAGGAGCACTTTCTGCTCTTCAGAGGACCTGTGCTGTTCCCAGCACCTCTATTACAGCTCACAACCACCGTTAACTTCTGCTCCAAGGGCTCTGATGCCCTCTTCTGACCACCTTAGGTACTGCACTGACAAGCCCAAACCAACTGATGCAGAGCTAACTTTGTAGCCTCCACCTCACCCCACATCTTTTAAAAAAGATTGGCCTTTGTGTTTGTGTGTTTGGCTGCCTGTGTGGAACGCTGAGTGTGGATGTCCACAGAAGTCAGACGATGGTGTTGGGTTCCCTGGAGCTGGAGTTTCGGGTGGTTGTGAGCCACCTGCTGGAGTGCTGGGAACCAAACCCAGATTCTCTGTAAGAACAGCAAGCAACCCTAACCACTGAGCACTCTCTCCAGCCCCCAAGAAAAACAGTTCTATTCCGTCTGTTAATTCCAGTTTAAAATAACTATTTATGTGTCGCAGTTAGTGTTGAAGAATAATTTATAAGATTGTCTGACCTGATTCCCTGACTTTGGATAGGAGCTACCAAGGGACAGACATACCAGGTCCTTTCTTGTCTCTCCAACCCTTACTTTTTCCTTTTGTCCCCCCAGTTGTATTCCTGGGGCCCAAACCCAGGCCCTAGAGCATGCTGTCCTTGGCAGACTGCAGCCCTCCTCACATTTTTACTCTTCTTCTTGGTCATGTTCATCCATAAATTTGACACTGTGTGACAGTCCTGCTGATACTTAGGGTGTTGGTCAGTTCCCTGTTTGCTGAGGTTGGAGATGGTTTCCCCAGG